CGCTCGCGCCGCCGGGCCAGCCGCGCCGCGTCGCCAAGCTCTACGTCGTGCCCAACTGCGAGGTCGTCACGCCGCCGCCGCCGCCGATCTACCACGTCACGGAGAACGGCGAGCGGCTCCTCGTGCTCTACGCGACGCGCGTGCAGCGGCCGCTGATCCCCGCGATCCAGCAGGTGCACAAGCAGCGCGCGGAGTTCCTCTCGCTCTTCGACGAGTCGGAGGTCGAGATGGCCGCGGCCATGTTCGACTCGCGGCCCATCGAGATCGCCCGGCCGCTGCTCTTCGAGTCCGAGGAGGACGCGGAGCGCCGCGCCGAGCCGGCCGCGCCGAAGCGCAAGCGCAAGTCGCGCAAGAAGAAGCGCAAGGTGCGCGCGCTCTTCCCCGTGTCCTTTCGACCCCGATGATCCCTCGTCGCTCGCAGGCCGCCGCCGCCGCCGCCGCCGCCGCCGCCGCGGAGCGGGGCGACGAGGCGGCGCCCGCGGCCGACGGCGCCGCGGAGCCCGCGGCCGTGCCCGAGGCGCCCGCCGAGGCGCCCGCCGCGCCGCCGCCGACGGCGCCGCCCGTCGAGGCGCCCGCCGAGGCGCCGCCGCCGGCCGCCGCGCCGGCCAAGAAGAAGAAGAAGAAGCGGTCGCGCCGCCGCGGCCCCGCGCCGCCCGCCGAGATCAGCGAGTACGAGCGCACGCGCATGCGCAACATCGCGGCCGGCAACAAGAAGCTCTACTCGCTCGGCCTCATCCACCCGCCGCCGGAGGTCGTCGCCGACCCCGAGCACTCCTGGTGGTCCGAGCGCGCGAGGACCCGCGTCTTTTTGGTTTCGCGCCTTCGACGCGTGCTCCCGCAGGCCCAGTCGTGAGCCTGACCTCGACGCCATCCCCCAAGCTCCCCTGTCTACGAACCCCACTGCATGTACCAGGAAGCGCCCCCAGCGCTTCCCCGAGCGGCCCGCGCCCGACGCAGTCGCCCCGCGCCCCTCGCCGCCTCCGATAAAAAGGCCCTCCGCCACAGCTCCTGGAAGCGAGAGCACAAGGTTAGGGCGCCGCGAGTGCGGTCAGGACCGCGGCCGCGCGCGCCGCGCCGCGGCCGGGCCCTCGCCGTCGACGGCGGACGCGTAGGCGTCGTCGACGGCGTTGCGCTTCGGCGGCGAGGGCGGGCGGGGGCTCGCGCCGGAGACCTTGCGGGACCGCCGCGCGCCGCTGAGGCGCGCGCCGCCGCCGTAGGTCCGGTCCACGGACCGCTCGGGCCGGCTGAGCTCGGGCTCCGAGAGGCGGCCGCGCGGCGCCGCGTCCGCGCGCGCGGGCGACGTCGGGCTCCAGTCGTCGTCGAGGTCCGCGGCGGCGGGCGCCGCGCCGAGCCAGGGCGGCGGCGGCGGCGGCCGCGCCGCCGCGCGGCCGGGCAGCGCGAGGGCCATGGGCACCTCGGGCCCGTCGAGGAGCGCGCGCGCGTCCTCGGCGTCCGGCCGCTCGATGGCGAAGAGGCGGTCGTCCTCCTCGAAGCCCCGCTCGTAGGCCGGCAGGGGCGCCGCGCCGCCGGCCTCGCGCGCGAGCTTGGCCGCGACGGCCTCCGCGCCTGG